GCGAACCCATGGGCTGACATTCGCGTCGCGCGCGCGGCGCGCAGTCGCGGGCGCAGGAGCGCCGGCTTGCGCGCGCATCTTGGCCAGGCAAAGCTGCGCGCAAGCGCGCGCCGGCCCTGTCGCGCGGCGCCGCGGCCCGGCGCGCGGCCCCCCTCTGCGCGCCCGCTCGCTGGCCCAGGGCGCAGCAGTGAGATCGAGCCCCCAGAACCGCGGACAACGAGGGTGGAAAAGAAGGCCTGGTAGAACGCGACGCGCTGCGCGTTGGCGATGATGACGAAGAGAGGCGACCCAACGCGCGACGGCGCGGTCCGTCTGGACGGGAGCGGGGAACGCTGTGGAGCTCGCTCGATCCTTTGGATCGTCAGAAGCCAACTCAACTACAGGCGCAGACCGCAAGCGGCGCGGACATGGCGCGCCCTTGGCGAGGGGGCGTCAAGCCGTTGAGTCGGCCGACGAGACCCCAATGGAGGCGCTCCACGGCTGGGCGGCGGCCCAGCAGGTGGCAATGTGCCGGGCGAGTGAAGTGCCGAACTCCAGCAGGTTGCATGCTGAAGGTAGATCGCGCCGAGTGGTCTATGTGCAGCTGAGAGGCGGTGCGCAGTGAGGTTGCACTGGCCGTATCGACTGGCATGCACCTTAACTGTTCCTGTTCGCTGAGGCGGTAATGTGGCTGAGCAGGTGAATCGAGCTGAGATGGGCTTGTAATCTGGTAGGAGTGCACGCGCCTGCCGAGATCGCATGCGGGCTGACCCAGCCCGCATAAGGTCTCTGTGCGAGCTGCATCCCGCGTGACATAGCCGATTGTAGCCTGAGCGCGGTTGGGGGAAGCAACGTCGGCGCCAGCAGGCGCTCTGAGAAGTGGTTGGAGACGAGCCTGGCCAGACGCAAGTGCGCTCGGCGTGCCGGCCCGCGCGCGCGGGCGCACTGCCGGGCGCCGCGGCGCCCCAGCGTGCGTAGCTCAGTGCGTTGCTGGGCGCAAACATGGCATGTCTCTGCCTTTGCGCACGCTCCAGCGCGCAGCTGAGCATGCTGATGCCCAGCGTGCGCTGCAAGGCGCAAGCGCGGGCGTAGCACGTCGCGTGCGTTGGCGCCGCCAGGCGCACACTATGCCCTAACGCACGCAACGCGACGCCTAAGAGTGCCAGGGCATAGCGCACCGTGCTCGCGCAGCTGCATCGCCGGGCATGAGCAATGCCCCGGGCGCGCTGACCAGCACTTGGGTGCGCATAGGTAGCGCGCACCACGAGGCCTGCACTGCCGCGCACTGGCAATGCGAGGGCGTGCCCCTCACTAGCGTATCCTGAATGGTAGGACAGTTGCCACTGAAGGGACAAGCGTGCACAGCTCTCTGCCCAAAGCTGCCGCGGCAGAGAGTGCACGTATTGCCGTGTGGCCGCGCGCCGAAACCCGATGGCACAGCGCAAGGTGTAAACGTGATTTTGCTGCCGAAGGCACAACAAATGTGTCAGCGTGCCTGAAGCTGCACGCTCCGTGCATCGTGCGTCCGAACGCAAGGACGCACCGCGTGCGCTAGATCGTGGGCCGCCAGGTCCTGTTGTCAAGTGGCTGGCGCACCTCCCCCGATTGCCTGTCAATCGTACTCAACATTGCCACCCTGTTGAATGAGTGAACGGGCGGCGTGCTGGTGGTGACGCTGACAAGTGGTCGTGACCAGGGCCGCGCGCGGTGCAGCGCGTAGACTAGACCACTTCCATGTTCCTTGGGGAAGGGTGTGTGACAAAGTTTCCAGGCATCACGTGGCACGACAGGAGTAGGTGCCAGCGAAATGCCTGGACGCCTCATCCTGGAAAGGTGCTGATGTAGGTTATAACGAAGTCCCCGTCGAAGTCCGCGTCAAGCAAGAACCACGAGGAAACGAATTACGGTTCGGAGATGCCGAACTGGAAAAGAGGCGGATGAGACGACGAAAAACTCGAGTGAGCAGCGGCCGTGGCGTACCCGACGTGCTGGCTGCATCTGGACGTGGTGTCTGCGGCATTCGCCGGATGCGTGTCTGACAGGCTGCGGTCCATAGGCGGGACAAGTGCATGCATCGGCGACATCAGGTTGGTGATCAATGGCATGCTGTCCCCGAGCGCCAAAATGGGGATCCTCATCGGTAAGACTCCACCGCGATGTGAGTTGCGGAAGCGCCTTGGGGCTCGGGCCCGCGCAGGGACGAACGCAACGCCATGTTGAAGCAGGTGGCAGCCGTGGTAGTGCTGTTGCCCTCGATTGGTGCCAAGGGCTGTGATGTGAGATGGGCACATTAAAATTCAATTGTCCACTCGAATGGCGCGGCGCGCTCGCAAGGACAGCCAGCACTGTCGCACACATCACGAGGCACGGCGATAGCACAGGGAGGAGCCTCGCAGTCATGCCCAACACGAAGCTGCGGCCAGTGCCTGTGGAGTGCGATGGGTCGGGGAACGCTGTGGCGCTCCCGTGGGCGAGTCGCTCCACATCGCGGTAACGCCTGCGGCTGCTTTTGCCCTGCGCAGCTAGACTCTCGCACGTCTCATACGGCATACGGCGTTTGTCGTCATCGTCGCCTGTGAGCGTCCAAGGAGGAGGAGGAGGAGGAGGAGGAGGAGGAGGAAGAGGAAGAGGAGGAGGAAGAAGAGGAGGAGAGGAGGAGGGGGAGAAGGAGGAGGAGGAGCAGGAGGAATAGCAGGAAGAGCAAGAGGAGGAGGAGGAGGAGGAGGAGGAGGAGGAGGAGGAGGAGGAGGAGGAGGAGGAGGAGGAGGGACGCGGACTCCGACTTCTGCAACTCCACCCGCTGGGTGAACAGCGGGAATTGCAAACCGCTGAGAGGCCAGATCAGGGCGGCTCGCCTGCCGCCGCCCAGGGAGGGGGGGCAGATGTGATGAGAGAGGAGTCTCTGGGGTTGCAGGGTGGTCTTCGCTGTCCTCTGCACGGCTCTACCCCAAACTCCGCCCTTGCTTCGAAACGAAACCCCCCTTCGCTTGCCCCTCCCTTCTGAGCTCCCGGAGCTCCCTCCTCCTCATCCTCCTCCTCTGCCTTCCGCGGGCGGGCCTTGTCGTCTCCCCCCTCGTTGTTGCCTCTGGGGGGTCTCTGTATGTCCTCCTCGCGTCGTCCCCTCGCCGCGTCCATCTTGCCTTCGTGACCAGGCCTCGGCATTCCCTCGGGGGTCGGGCCCGCCAGCTCGCAGCTCGCAAGAGGGAGGGGTAGGGGGAGGATGTGGATCAGGAGGAAGAGGAGGGGGGAAGGGGAGGAGCAGGAGGAGGATGGGGGGGGGGGAGAGGAGCCGAGTTCAGGAGACCGCGAACTGCGGGGTGGTGCCTGCCAGTTCAAGTCGAGTCGCATCGTTGGCCCAGTAAGGGCCCGGTGAACTGCTGACCTCCTCGCGGTTGCAAGGATGCCTGCTGACGCTTCTGATTAGGACACTAGGCTCTACTTAGTGAGGGTTTGAGGGCACGCGCAGGAAGACCGCCACCGCGCAGAGAAGTGTCCCACCCATGTGAAGCTATTATCTCTGCCCCCGGATCACTGATGTCTTGAGGATGGCGCTGCAGGAAAACGGGGAACTTGCTCTGGAGGCCTCCGAGGTCCCCAGAGGCCTCTGGTGGCACCGAGAAAAGCAAAAACGTCGAAAACGACCTCGATCCTCGAGGGACGGCGACGACCCCTGGACATGCCATGTGATGCGTTCTGGCCAGAACTTCGAAGGCAATCCAGTTATGGCCGCGAGGTCCTAGGGAGCCCCAAACGGGCCGCTGGACGCCGAAATTGCCACTCTCTAAGCTCTTCGGCGCAACTTTGAAAGCGTTCTTTATTCTGGGCCCGTATTCTCCGTTGCGGGGGAAGGGCTGGGGGGTGGGCAACGGTAACGATTGGGGTGGAGACGGGGGGGGGGCGGTGGGGGGGGGCATGCGTGCACCGCAGCGCCTATGCACGGCGCCTGTGTACACCGCAGCGCCTGCGTACACCACAGCAGCCGTGTGCAACACAGCGCCGGTGCACACCGCAGTGCCTGCGTCGCACCACAGCGCCTGTGTACACCGCAGCGCTCGCGTACACCAGAGCAGCCGTGTGCAACACAGCGCCGGTGCACACCGCAGTGCCCGTGTGCACCACAGCGCCTGTGTACACCGCAACGCCCAAGTACACCAGAGCAGCCGTGTACACCACAGCGCCTGGGTACACCGCAGTGCCTGTGTGCACCACAGCGCCTATGTGCACCACAGCAGCCGTGTGCAACACAGCGCCGGTGTACACACAGTGCCTGCGTGCTCCACAGCTCCTGCGCGCACCAGAACGAAGCGCCTGAGTGCCTGTGTCGCAGGGCCCGCGTGCACCGCAGCGCTTGCGTACACCACATGGCACGCGCACGCCACAACAGTCGTGTGCATCACAGAGCGGTTGCCGTATGTGCTGCTGTTGCCGTGCGCGTGCGCCGCAGCGCCCGCGTGTAGCCTGCAGGCAGTGCCTGCGTGCACCAGAGCGCCGCGTGCGTAGCAGTCACAGCGGTGACTGCGTGCACAACAGCAGCCTGTGTACGCCGCCGATGTGTACACCGACCGCGACGGCCGCGCGCACGGGGAAAGGGGTTCGCGACACCGCCCGCCGTACGATCTTTACCATTACGGGGTGTGGGGGGGTCAAAAACAATCTCTTTCCTATGCTCCTCGCGGGCGGCAGCGCCCACGGCGACGCCGACGGCGGGACGTGGGACAGGAGGGGGTACTGCAGTGCAGTTTGTATATTTGGGGCCTCCGTCTTTCTGATGACTCAGGATGGTGGCATTGCCAGGGTGGTCCTCGATACCAGTGTTCTGTTCCCTCCTCTTCTTCCTGCTGCTGCTCCTCCTTTTCCTGCTCCATCCTCCTCCTCTCGCGACGACGACGACGACGACGACGACGACGACGACGACGACGACGACGACGAGGACGACTGCGGCGGCGGCGGCAGTGGCGGCGACGACGGTGACGGCGACCACGGCGACGGTGACAACGACGGCGACGACGACGCGGCGGGTCCTGCGCACCAAGCTCCTTCTGGGCCTCGGCCTGCATCAGGTTGGCGCGCTCGGAGAGCGTCGCGGCGCGCCTCTCCACCTCGGCGAGGGGGCTCCCCACAGGGGGGTGGGGGGTGGGGTGGGAGGAGGGGGAGGGAGGCAGGGCGGGCGGGAGGGAGGAAGGAGGGAACAGCGAGAGAGAAAGGAAGGAACATCTGGAAATCAGGGAATGGCGCGCCACGGAAACGAGAGGAGGGAAGGAGGAGGAGGAGGAGGAGGGAGGAGAAGGACGAGGAGGAGGAGGCGGGAGGTGGAGGAGGAGGAGGAGGAGGAGGAGGAGGAGGAGGAGGAGGAGGAGGAGGAGGGGGGGACGAGGAGGAGGAGGAGGAGGAGGAAGACGACGACGAGGATGACGAGGGGGATGAGGAGGAGGAAGAGGAGGAGGAGGAGGAGGAGGAGGGGAGGAGGAGAAGGCGGAGAAGGAGGAGGAGGGAAGAGGAGGCGGGAGGAGGAGAGGAGGAGGAGGAGGAGGAGGAGGCGGAGGAGGAGGAGGAGAAAGAGAGGAGGAGGGAGGGGGAGGGGGGGGGAGGAGGAGGAGGAGGGGAGGAGGAGGAGGAGGAGGAGGAGGAGGAGGAGGAGGAGGAGGAGGAGGAGGAGGACGAGGAGGAGGAGGACGAGGAGGATGAGGAGGAGGAGAGAGGAGAAAGAAGAGAGAGCAGGAGGAGGCGGAGGAGAAACAGGCATGAAGAGGGATGATTGTGAGGTCTGCGCGCTTCTCCACCTCATTTTGGATGGACGTTTACGGCGCGGGCAAATGACGGGGGCGGGGAGGGAGGGAAACGAGAGGGTGCAGGAAAGCTACCCGAAAGATCCCCACTGTGGCTCCAAAAGGTGCTGGACAAGAGCACCTCCCCCACCCCCTCCCCGTGTATCTTCCGCTCGCTGCCGTCCGTCCGACCTCAGTGACTCCTCGTCCTCGCCCCCCTGAGACATCAGGCGCCGACGGCGGTCATTTCCACGTATAGCGTGGGGCGACGAGAACATCTCACATACCACACCAAGGCCGTGGGCCTCGGGGCAGGCGGACGGGCGATTTGTTTACTGTCAGCTCTTTTCTCCCACTCTTACTGGGCGGTCATGGTGTCAACATTGTTATACGGTTGGGTCGTCAGGGCAACAGGAACCTGATGTTCTTTGGCGTTCACCCGAGTGCGAGCCTGCTCTAACACTTGAACTGCCTCGGTCCCCGCTTCCACCAAAGCGTCTGCCAAAACAATACCTCGCACAAGCAGTCTCGGCACGTTCCCGCGAAACACACCGAGCGCCTCAACGCGAGCGCATGGCAAAAGGCAATACAGCATGGAGAGAGTCAAACAATCATTGGCAAACTGACCACCACAAATCGTTGTCAAGGCCCGTCTGTTGTTGGTACCGATTGATATACGAATCAACGCTGGCTGCTCCGGAAAAAATCACGCATGTCCCTTAGCCACCACCGCCTGGCAAACCATCACGCAGTCCGACCAGCGTTCCCCTGGCTGCTATTTGGCGCGGACCTGGGAAGCCGCCCCGGGCCCCGAGCTCGAGGTCCATGGAATATGAGGTCGCGGAAGACGGCCAGGCCGACTGCGACGCAGGCGCGGGTGATGGTCGTGTTCTTCGCCACCGGAGCTCCCAATGACGAAGGTCGGCCGCTCTGCATATCCACTTCTGGGGAGGAGAGGAGCCCAGGTGGCACTTCCCCCCCAGGCGCCACTTGACCGCCCCTAGGGGGAGCAGAGAAAGGAAGGATAAGAGAGGAGGAGTGAAGGCGGACGGAAGACGGGAGGAGGTTGCTGATGATGATGATGCTGATGATGATGCTGATGCTGATGCTGATGCTGCTGATGATGATGGTGATGATGATGGTGATGATGATGATGATGATGATGCTGCTGCTGCTGATGATGATGATGATCAGGTTCCATATGAGTGGTCTGGGAGCAGTGCTCGGCTCAGCCACCTTGCAATCGGCATGCACGGTCGCAAGGGCCCCGCGGGGCCCAAGCCAGACCCAGGCGACGAGGAACGGGCCCCAGACGCCAGACTGGGGCAGCCCCCCGTTACGACCCCTGGTGTCTGAGGCCACCAGGAGCATCGCGGTCAGCCTGCCCCCTTCCGCCCGAGCCCTCGCGGGCTCGCCCTCGGGGGACCGACGACGGCCGCCGTGGGGCCGTCGGCCGAGTTTTTTCGAGCCGCGTCCAGCGGGTCTTATCTTCGCGCCCTCAGGCCGACCCGCGGCTCGAACTGCGTGCAGCTGGCTCGGGCGGCTCAGCCAGGCTGGCGCCCCGCCACCGCCGTCGGCCGCGTCGACCCGCATGGCCGCCCGCCTCGGCGCGGGCGCGTCACGGGGCGCGCCGCCGCCAGCGCCCCCCGCCGCCGCCGTCGACCTCGTCGGGCCGCCTGGCCTCCCGCCGCGCTCGCCCTCCAGCCGTGCCGCCCAGCGGTGGAGCCGCGCTCGGCTCCCTGCGCGCGCGGCCCGCCAAGCCGACGCGGCGGCCCGCCACAGGGACCCGAGCAGAAGCCTGTCCCGCGTGGGGCACCGCTGCGCGCGGCGGCAGCGCCCTGGGCCGCGCGCCGACGTTCGCGGCGCCCGAGCTCGGCGAGCCCCGCCCACAGGTCCGCCAGGAGCAGCGTCGCACGCTCGGCGCGGGCGGCATCCTGGAGAGCAGCATCACGGCCAGCTCCGCGAGCCAGGCACCGCGCTGCTTCGCGGAGGCGACGCTCCGCATCACCGCCGCCGTGGCGACGACGGGCAACACGAGGAGCGTCTGCGCGACCAGCTCCGCGAGCTTCAGCGTCGTCTCGGCAGCGTGCGCCTCGCCGGCCGGCGGCGAAGTGCGACACGAGCGCGGACCCGAAGACGAACAGCGCCAGCGGCACCGCCTGCTCCGCCGCGTCCTCGTGCGCGACGTCGGTGCCGCGGGGCAGCTCGAGGGCCTCCTTCCCAAAGTCGCCCAGCTCCGAGCCTGGCTCCGTGCCGTCGTCGCCGAAGGCCTCCTGCTCGGCGAGGCGCACGGCGCCCCCGGGAGGCACGGCACCATCGCGAGGGTCGGCTCCGCCGCGATGGTCATCCTCTCCACGATGACCCGCACCTCCACGAAGATCCACGGCGGGCGGCCCCAGCAGCTCCACCGCGTCCCCGTCCACGGTGCGGCCCCCCGCCTCGGCTACCAGGAACGGCATGGCCGAGCTGGGGAGCGCGGAGCACAGCGCGCCGCCCGAGCCGCCGACGGCGGCGGCCGCGATCGCGGCGGCGGCGGCCCGCGCCCCCAGTGCAGCTGCCGAAGGCTGCGCCGCCCGCATGGCCGCCACCTCGGCCGTCAGCTCGTTGCAGCGCCGTCGCAGGCCCCGCGCCTCGCGCAGAGTCGCCTGCAGCAGCGCCTCGGATGCGCGGCGGGCTGCCCGCCGACGCCTCCGCCTGTCGGCGCTGGGGCCGACGGGGTCCAGCTCTCCAGCGGCTGCGCCATGGCGACGGCGGGCCGCTTCCCGTGCGCGAGCGTCAACTGTGCGCATAGTCGCAATACGGTAAGCCGAGCAAGGCTCGAGCCGCATGGCAACTTGAGCCAAACTGGCTTGAGCCAAAATGGCTACGGATGATGTCGTTGTTGTTGATGATGATGATGATGATGATGAGGAGGAGGAGGAGGAGGAGGAGGAGGAGGACGAGGATGAGGAGGAGGAGGAGGATGCTGATGCTGATGCTGATGCTGATGCTGATGCTGGTGATGCTGATGCTGATGCTGATGTTGATGCTGCTGATGATGATGATGCTGATGATGATGATGCTGATGATGATGCTGATGACGATGACGATGACGATGATGATGATGATGACGATGATGATGATGATGATGACGATGATGATGACGAGGAAGGAGGAGGAGGAGGAGGAGGAGGAGGAGGAGGAGGAGGGAGAAAGAAGGAGGGAGGAGGAAGGAGGGAGGAGGAATAATTAGTAAGTCTCCTCTGCGGCGGTGGTGATCCAAACCTTGAAGCTGTCACTGTCAGAGGGCGCGGCCCCACCCTCAGATCCGCTGCAGTCCTCTGGCGAGCTCCATTGAGGCATGTCCACGGCCTTCGCCTTCCCAAAACAGCTGGCGCAAAATGCTGCGTCCAACTCGCTTCCGGAGGCGACCAGCCGGTAATTCTTGTGGCTTTCGTAATTGCGCACGTACGGGCATAGGCTGCGGTTCGTCAGGGACGGGTGCTTCCTGTGCAGCATGGCCGACCGCACGTTCAATATCCATTCTGGGTCTCTGTCCTGGTCGTCGCCCTGGTGCCCGGCGCTTGCCTTGGCGGCCTCCGCGTCTAGCCCAGGGGCCGCTTTGCGGTCCCCGAGGGTGCCCTCAGTCAGCTGCCCGGGCGGTGGGTGCACGTCACGCGGCCCGCCGACTTGAGGCACTTCGAAGCTTCCGGCCGGTCGGAATCCGTTCCGGAGCGCCTGCAAGACCTGTGCCTTCACCAGCAGTTCGGAGCAGCACCTGGCCTGGTCGTATTGCAAAGGGACCTGGCTTCCGTCCGCCCAGTGACCGACCGCTGCAACCTGCTCCCTGGTGCCACCAATCTGCCGGACCACCGCCGGCATGTAGAAGCGCGGCGAATGGAGGGTGTACCCCCGCGGTGTGTCTTGCACTCCTGCCTTGCGGAGGATCACCTGCAGGGTGCGCAAGCAGTTGTGGTAGGAGCCTTTCCTCAGAGGGGCAGCTATTTCCAGTCTACCCTCCCCGGGGTGCTCCACCGCCGGCCAGAGCCATTTCCGTGGTTGGCCTGGGTCGCTTTCTGGAGTCAGGGCGCTGGTCAGCTCGTGCCATGCCCCACCCCAGTCGCGGCCGCCAGCGTCGTGCCGCAACGCCGCCCACGTGGTCGGCGCTGTTTTCCGCTTCGTGCGGTACGACGTGCCGTACAAGGCATCCCGCGTGAGCCCGAGGTTCCACGATCTGTGGAGGTCTCCCCAGCGGAGCACAGCGCTGGCGAGGCAGATGTAGAAACCTGTGATCCATCGCTCTGCACCTTGTGCCCGCCAGAAGAGGTCATGGAGTTTGTCCACTACCAACTGCG